CCTTGTCGCAGTCCTGCTGATTGCACTGAGCACCGAACTCCTCTGACAGGCTGTAGAGGTTATTCTGTAAAGTTAATCCAATTCTGAAGTGGATTATCAATATCAAATCTCCTTAACCTTAGGCACGTACAGTAAAGCATGACACTTGTATATATTCTTTCCTGTCAGGAATTCCTGTCTTCGTGCAGCGTTAAGAGTAATTGTCAGATGGTTACTGATAGTACGTGCATATTTCTGTCTGCAGCAGTAATTGCTTTGATTGTGAATTCATTAGCCTAATTCATTTTACAGCAGGTGAATAGTGATGGTTTTGTATGGTAAGTTTTGAATAAATGTACTTAGTGTAAAGCGCTGTCAGTAGGCAGTGCTCCCCTGCTGTATCTCAGTTAAGTGTCTGCATGGAGCAAAAGTTCACATGGGTGCTCCTGAAGTATGATCTTCTTTCTAAGGATTAACAGCAACGTAAGCAGTGTGGAAGTCAGTTGTTATATCAGTAACACAAATGTGTGTTCAGAGGTAAATGTTTGTACATGCCTACTGTGAGGAAAGTATCCAGCAGTGAGCTTTGTATGGTTTTGGAGCCACTGCAGAGAGGTATAACGTAGCCAGCTTTCCTCATCTGTTTTTAAAGAGATGATCTGGAGGTTCCAGGTGCTGTTTACATAAGCTTGTGTGTTAGAGGCTTCTTAATGTTTACAGATTAAAGATGAGTGACTGTTTCCTTATTTTGTCTTGCAGTAAATAAAACATCACCAGTTTTCTGTTTATCTATATTTTTGGCTATTCTGTTTAGCATAATAGCAGCCTACTAAGAAGGTCTTGCTTGCAAGAACCTCAGAAAATCAAATTTTGTTTTAAGAAACCTGACATACTTACTAGATCAAAGCCTGTGAAGCACCTGATTCCTGAGGAATCTAGTTTTTAAGAGTGTTAAATGTTTGCACTTAAAAAGAAATAAATTGTCATATCAGATCAGAATGCAATACACTGCTGTGACAGGTCATGTGATGCATTTGGCAACTTTTTGTTTATTTTCATTACTATGAAAGAATGATGGCACAGGATTGTACATGCAAGTATTACAGAGTGCTTTCAGTTCAAAATACTGTGGTGTTGATGGCAAAGAAAAGAATAGTGCAAAACTTAGGGATAGGACCCAGCCCATTGGGCTTTAATTGTCTGAGGGTTAGCCTTATTGTCACTAGGCTATAAGCAGGGCTATGGGGGGAGGAGGTAGGGTTGAACCTGGAGGGGCAAAAGAGCAATGCGTGGATGAGCAGTCTTACCAAACACCTGGGAATGAACACCCAGCTATTCAGATGTATGTATGGGAATAGTTTTTTCATGTGCAAGCTGAGTTCTGCTCAGCTCTGTGTCTGAAAAACTCCACTGAAATCATCAGCTTTGCCTGAGTCAGTCGTCTGCTTTCTTCTGTGCTGGAGTCCTTCACAAGCATCGCTGCTTGTGCTGCTTTAAAGGTTGGAAAATGTGTCAGTTGTCCAAGTGGCTGAGGAAGACACATCAAAAGAACAGACTGCTGGACTGGGGAACAGAAGTCAGGAAATACTTTGTATAGCATTCAGGTGTTGAAACTGAAAACTATGTTCTTCCACATCAGGACAGTGGGACCACTGCAGGATTGCAAAAGATCTCATGTTGACAACTTCATTTTTCCTCTGAGCGGGCAAAGTCAGGATAACAACCAAAGTAATTGTTGTTTTTGCAAAAGCTGCATCACTGACGCTTTGGAGAAGTGGTGACTTAAACTGACTGAGGCTATACAGGGGTGAAGCTGTGCAAGCCTGTGGCAGGCTTTGCTGTCAGGGCTGTGCCAGGCTTTTTGCTGGAAGGAAAAAGACATTAATTAGAGGATATTTTCCTGGATGTTATTTAAGACTACAATTTCTCCCTCTGTGAGCAGGCAGTTTCCATCACTGATGGATCAACAAAAGATACCAGTTTTTAAGGAGTTATATAAGAACAGTGTTTTGATACTCACAAGCCATGGCCTCATCTATGAAGAATGAGAGCAAGATTAAAAAATACAAAGGCAACTTTCAAATAACAGATCTGAAGTCATGACTGAACTGTTTAGTATCTTAACGTGTACTTTTTCAACATTATCACCATACAGGAAAAAGCAAAACACAATGGTTGACTCTTTCATTTTGTGATCTCAATATGACCCCCATGTCCTTTGGTGAACGTGCAGGCTACTTTTCATCATGAAATAGCAGTAATGTAAGTATGCTGTGTAGCTATCCTGTACTCATTGTGAATATTTCAGCCTGGTTTTGTTCCAGGGAAACTCTACTGAAGTTATAGAGTGCCAAAAGTGTTGTAAGGGAAAAAAGGATGTTTTTGTTTCTTCAAAATATGTGCCTCTAAGTATCAGTAAGCACCAGGGCTGTGTTTCAGGAGTTGCTGTCTGTCTTTCCTCTCTGGTTTAGCATTTATGAGTAGGTCCTGAATTGTGCAGCAAGGTAAATGTCTGTGTCAGGTGTAGAACAATGAGATTAAAAGAAAAAATCATCCCACTTTAAAAAGATGTTTCTGAGAATGCCAACATCTGATCTCTATATCTTGTTATGCTGGAGTCAGTGGCATTTGATTCCTAAACTGCCCAGCCTAACATGTTGCAGTCTGTGCTTTGAGATTTATTGCTGTGTACACGCTGCAGTGAAACACTGCAACTTTCCGTGGCTGAATGACGCGATGAAAGCTTCTATTCAGCAACGGGCAAGATGAGATACAGCGGTGCTAATCTGTGACACATGTGAAAAATGGAACTAATGAACTCAGGACAGAAAGTCCAGATACCAGCGGTCATATTCTTTGTCTGCAGCTGCTGGAACAACAAAAAAAAAAGAATGGTAATCATTGCAGCCCTTTGGAGGGTGTCAGAAGATCTCAGGAAGGAGTTAACAACATCTGTGGACATAGAGCATAGTCTGTGCTCTGCACATCAGCTCAAATATTTATGAATGAAGGTCAGATGTGGCCTTTCTAAGCTGCAGTTCCCTGACTGTTTACAAAATACCGCTTGAAGAAGAACACAGCCAGGCTGAGTTACAACCTGACTGTGTGTGTGTGGGTCAGAAATGTGACACAGTGAATTCTGTGTGGTGGGGCTGAGCCCAGCCCTATGCTGGGGCTCTGCTATTAATAACAGCTCTGAGTCACAGAACCTGCGATGTCAGACTGCCGGGCTGCGCCTCGCTTACATGTGAGGCTGCTAACAATAGAAAGCCAGCCGAGGTTTGCTGGGGGATAACTGCTTTTTTCCATACATGAATCTCTGTCAGTCTCTCTAATTTATGTATTTAATTATGAAAGAATACCATTGATTAAGATGGATCTTTTGGGTGAAGCAGACTCATTCATTTCTTTCTGTTGTTCTTGTGGCATTTTATACAAAACACTTAGGATTTATTTACTGAAAATATTTTTAATGCTGGATGTATGCTCTGTTTTTCCAGCATGTGTCAGCCATCTGGTTCTCGGGCTGGCTGGTGCCTACAGCCAGTTTCTTTATATCGATTTATCTTTCCCTACGTATAGCGGCACTGAGAAGGAATTCTCTCATGGAAGTGAGTTCCAGGTCAGACCCAATTCTAAAAAATAGAGGTTTCTCAAGAAACAGAGGTTCCTCAGACTCGGGGCTGTACGTAGGGTTTGCTTTAGGGTGCTGTGTAATTTGTTCCTCCTCCATGTAACCTAGACCAGATAGAGCCCTGAGTTGCGGTCAAGTTGAAGCTGTAAGCCAATGAATCTGCCCATCTCCTAGCCCAGAATAGCTTTGTATTCAACCCAGCTCTCTTCTGCTGAGGTCACCTTTGTCCTTGGCAAGTCAGTTCATTTTCCTTTGTCATTTTCTCCATCTCTAAAACAGGTATTAAAATGTACTGCCCAAGGGAAGGCATGCTGGGGTAGGTTTATGTTGGCAAAATCACTTGTGGCCAGCTACAGTGAGGAATAAAGTTATTTATAAACGAGGAAAAAGCAGTGTATAAATACAATAGTATTGCTACTTGATACAGGTAGGATAAATGTATTAAAAATAAAACATGTTAAGTGCTTTTCATGAGCATTCAGGATTCTGAGTAATCGTATTTCAAAGCTTTTGTCCATAACTGGGAATAAAAATGAGCTTGTGAGAATAGAGCTTTAATTCTCACCTAACTCTGAGCTGTTACCTTTTAATAAAAAACAGAAATATTCCCTATTGTGCTATAAGACAGTGAGACTTGCTGATATTGTAAAGAGTTTGTTTGTATGGTTTTTAACCTCAACTTATTACTGGCCAGTCCTTCCCTGGTAGTGTTTAGTGCCTGTAAAACCAAGGCTTGGAGGGTTGGTTTGTTGTCCAGAGTCAACAGTGGTGAGATGCTGGGGGTGAGCTTCACCCCACCAGTGCTGCTGGTTTGGTATGCTGCTCTTTCTTCTCAATTCCATGTGTACTTACGGCTGTCATCCCCAAAGGAGTCACAGAAGAGGAGTTGGAGCTCCCAGGTGTTTGGTGACTCACAGTACACGGTACTTGACTTACACCAGCTTGGCTATGGTACTAAACCCCATTGCTCACTGATCTTGCAATTCCGATATTCATTTTATTTTAATTCTTATTTCATGTAGTAAGTGGAGTCAGCACTCCCAGTTTGTGGATACTGTATGTGTTACTGTGTTCTGTACCACGGTCAGGGGACATTAGGAGATTATTGATGACCATGCTTTGTGGTCTCGTAATTGTTGTTTGGTAACAGTTTTAAATTAAAACCAGGAGTGGATAGAGTTCTCACCAGAGAAAATCCACTGTGCTGCAGCCTGCCTCAGCATTTGCCCGTGTTCATCTTGTATTTCCCTTTCTCATCCTGGCTCAGCTTGAGTAAATAAAAATCAAAAAGCCCTCGCAGAACGCACTTCAGCTCTGCGTGTGTTTGAGCAGCTCCCTCGTTTCTCCCACATCTTCTGACTGTCAGCCTTTTGCCAGTCGCTTGGGAGCAGATTATTGCCAGCTCAGTCCTGTGAGGGTAGAGGAATGCAAGGTGCTGGCAGCGCCGGGAGCCGCGGCCATGGAATCCAGCATTTGTTACGCAGCAGCAGCTGAAGCGGGCTGGCTCGGCACAAGGGGCAGAGTCCATATGCAGGGTAGGAGCTGCAGGAAGAGACCACCGTGGGAGAAGATAAGAGGCACACAAAGAAGAGACGGGGCGAGCGATAGGACTGCATCCGCTCCCGTAGGAAATCTGAGGAAGACAATTATCTGGAATAAGCTCCCGCTTTCTTTTTTTCTGTTTTTTTTTTTTTGTTTGTTTGTTTTTTAATTTTAAATTCACCTCAACCAAACGCTGCTGGAGAAGAGGTTGTGTTTAAATTACTTCAGCTAATTCTTGCTGCTTCCACGACGAAGAAAATTTGTTTGCCATGGTGAAAGAAAAAGGTAATTCTGTTTATTGGCAGATTGGAACTGAAAAGGACTAATGTGCCAGCCACAATTACCTGAGGTTTAAACCTTTGCATTTAAAATGAACCATGTCTTCCCGACAGCTTTCCTTTCTGTAGATGATGTGCCAAAACTGCAGTGGGTTGCTTTGATTGTCTTTGTACCTGTTTCTGTAAGGGTAGAACCCAGAACACACCTGAACTAAGGTGTTTGCACAGCTGGGTTCCTGTGCATATGTAGTAAGTGCGTATGTATCTTTATTTTCTGTGTGATACTCCTTAAGTTTGCTGTTGATGGTTTGTTACCTGTGTTAGTCACAGCTCAAAGAGCTGAACTGCCAGAGCAGTTAGCTTAATTTTTAAGATAAACACATTCAGCAAGCCTGGACACAACATGGTCGTGTCTAACCTTTTAATGAAGAGGTGATTTATATGGGAATTTTGTATCGTGGAATTTTGCAGCAGTAAATTACACGTGTTTCAATTCTGCCGGTAAGTAACACATTAAGTCTGCTACAGAAGCTGGCTGAAGAATTTAAGTGTCATTGTGCAAAATTTCCTCACAGTAAGAGCAGTCCGTACTGTTCATTGCATCGTGAAGATGTGAAATAGATCCACAATTATATTTGAGCGGTGGGCTTGGATGTGCTTTGGGAGCATTGCATTGTCACAGATTCACACTTACCCTCTGTTTTATGAAGAGCAGGAACTGTGTTTACTTTTCTGAGGGTTCTGTGAAAGGTCACATGTGATGAATTCAAACTGAGTAAGAAACAGAAAGTCGTTACGTTGGATGAGTGTGAGTAGTTTTTCAACTCTGAACACGTGCATTATAATTTCATGCTATAAATGAAGTAAATTGAGGGAATTTAGCCTCACTGGGTTTACACGTGAGTAGGACAGAATCTTCAGTAGTCTACCATGTTGTATCAGATAGGTGGAGAGTTGTAGTCATAAGCATTTTTCAGGCTTCTGATGGCTTTTGTTGATGAGAAGTGTAAGTAGTATTGGGCTACTTAGCAGATCTGAGATCCGTTACTGGAGATTTACAGGATCATTTTTACAGTGGTGAGCTGCTGACCTGCTTCCAGTGTTTATAAGCCATTAAGGGATGGTTTAAGAAGCAGTTTCATTCCAAATACTTGAAGCTGTAACTTTCCAAGATTTTATATCATTGAGATCAGTTACACTTCTCATCTTTACAGGAAAGTGTATTACCATTCAGCTTATAATAATTGGTGATTGTCTTCTAAGATATGTTTTGGAATTAGGCTGCTGATGTTCTTGAAGCGCTCAGTAGATGTATGTGTAGCAGTTTCGGCAGTCAGTACATTTCTGCTCCCTATCCAGCCCGTGTGCAGTTGGTTCAACTCCTCCTGGAATTAATCTGTAAATAGTATTCACAGGTGAAAGTTGTGATGTAGCTGTAAGGAAATTAAAACAAGCCTGTCATTTTCATTTAAAGAAAAAAGGAAGCAAAATACTAACTGAGTGGAAAAAGCTGACGACAGCAAAGTCTTGTATTTAAATTGATCTGTTTCCCCCAACCAATCATTCTCATCATCCTCCCCACCAATTGAATAGCTAGTAATGTTGATGTTGGGTATAAAAATTTGTCTTCTGTTTGCACAGGTCGTAGACTAAAACAGTCTATTTTTTGCTTTTAATTGCTTTTAATTTTGTGGTACAGTTACTGATAGTTCATACATCATTACTGCAAAATGAGAGATGTTAATACCATTTGTACTTTTAAGCTGCTACAGATATCATTCTCTGGAGTGATATGCTTGCAAAATGCAGGGCAGTTTGGTACCATGGCTCTCTTCCAGCCACTGAAGAAATTCTTGTTTTTTAACAAGCTAAAAATGCGTGTAGTCCTGTATCAGTTGGTCGACACGTTATCAAGGCACTGGAGGGGCTGGTTTCAACTAGAAAAATGGAATCCCAATTCACTGAAGTGCGAAGTGGTTAGTAACAGTTTTTAGCGAATTAGCATGCTTCATTATGCTCATATTGTGGAATGAGTTCAGTGTCTGCCTGGTCAATTCGCATAGCAGCAAAAAAAATCCTGAGGCCAGGGTGTTTTCTGCTGACACCAAATGGCACTTCCTAAATGACGGATGTTTGACTGATGCCACATTTTAATTCCTCTGACTGTTATTTACTCCTGTCCAATTACGAGCCCTTATTAATTATCTAGTTATTTAGATAAAATTATTGTCATTGTCTTGCAGCCAAAAACAACTTACTCTTTTTCTATCCTGCAACAGAAGGGAAGTTTACTATGCATATCTGTATCTTGTTATTAACTGTCTTCTGCTGTTTATTGAATGATCAGCATACTGAACGCTTCAGCTAACGACTGAATTTTGCATCTGCCAGCCACGTGGCTGGGTGTGTTATCCAGAGCTTCATTTGTACCTCTGTTCCATCACAGTAACTGAGGATTTAGCCCTGATTCTTGATTTGCTGACCTAGCCCTCACCACCTGGTCTGTGGGTACTGGAATCAGTTCTTTATCTGATGAACTCTTGGATTGGGTCGTAGATGAACCAACATATGGAAGTGGAGTAACATCTATTTGTGCCAAGCTTCTCCATGCTTGGATGGATCAGAGAGAAAAGAGGAAGGGCTGACGTCTTTTAGGGTTGTGGAAGTAGTCAGGAGGCCTATGATTTCTATTCAGGATGTTCTGTTCCTGTTGAAGGGTAGGTGCCTGCACCTGCTGGGTACCAGGCTGCAGTAAGCTAGGTCACATTTGCAGCTTCTCACAAATGTCTCTGTAGATATACAGTTAGTAAAATAGTAGGTAAAATAGTAGGGCTTCCCAGAGGACAACACAGAAAGTTCACCAAAATTTTAACATTTCCTGTATAATATGGCTTCTGATCTAATTAAGTCTTGCAGAGAGACTTATTTCTTTTTTTTTTTATACCATTGATAAAGCATGTTATTGATAACCCTTAAGGTTATGACCAAGAGGGTTGTTTTTCTGCTAGCAGTAGCTCCAGTCTTGCCCTCTCTTCCACTCACATATCTCCAAAACCACAAGTCACCGAGCAGCTTTTATTCTTCTTGTTTCCCTTGAAATAAATTGGGCTGCTTTCAGTAGGAACTGTACTTGAAAAGCATGCTAACTGCTACCTCTGTTAATTTCAGTGTGTTCTCTGTCTGGATCAGTCTTTCCATCTCTCTGTTTATTTGCAGTGTGAATGAAGAAAACGTTTAACAATGGGATCTGGGTCCTGGTGTCTTTGTGTTGTGGGTGGTGATGAAAAATAGTCTCTATCTGAACTCACGATTTTAGAACTTCTATCCCCAGATGACCTGGGAAAGCCTCCATGCTTGTTGCTTTTGGAGCATCTGACAAGATTATGCATTGACACTTTGTCAGGGAGGATTGGGCAGTTTTGTTTTCTTTGATTTACTTTGCTTTACATTTTCTCCTGCTTGACAGTTTACTAGGTGCTAGGTGTTTGGGGTTTTGTTATGATGAAGTCAGTGCTAGCTTGGAGGAGCCACAGAAAAAGGCATTTTATAAATATGTGCAGTGTTCTTGTCCTTAAGGTGCTAAACTACAGAGCAGTTCTGTCTTAGAGACTTTCTAAGGTGACCTTGGGGAAGTAATTTGATCTCTCCCTGTGTTAGTTAATCTGTAAAATGAGGATAAGAACATTCCTCTTGTCTGCCGTGATTATTTGAATTAGAGATCTTTGGAGCAGTTTCTTTTTCCTTGTGATGGATGTGTAAGGTAGTCTTAGGTTGGGGATTTGGCCGCTACCGCTTGACACAAAAAAGATCCGATGGTATGTGAAATACCCTGTAAACATTTATTACTTTTATTGCTTTTTAACCCAAGACAGCGGTAGAACAATTATGCTTTTATTGACAAATGTATCGTATCGCTTGTTCTCCACTTTCTGAATTTCTTTATAATCTTAGGTTTCAAATTGCAGTTCTGGTGTTGAGCGCTGACACCGAGAGAAACAGAAGTACCCCAAGAGCAACCAGTTCAGGCACTGCCTGCTGGCTGACGTTTTTGTGGGTTTTTGTTTGTTTTGGGCTTTTTTTTTTTCCTTAATGTAGCACTTAGTTCACACCAGGGCATGAATATTCAAGTCCCAAGAGTAAAGGCAAGTGCAATCCCACCGTGCCTGGTGGCTTCCCGTGTTCCCAGCAGTGAAATTCCATGCATTCCTTGCATCCCAGTTGCTTGTACAAGCAGTGCTCTGAAGGTACATTGGCAGCTATTTTATTTTATGTGGAGAAGTGGGGAGCCCATTTGCCATTGATCTCACTGGAGGGGAAGGCTTAGTGGCTTTAGGCAATAAATTCCAGACCACAGAGTTCAAGCTTCAGATGGTGATAGAGGCAATTAAGCTGTTCCTTTTTTAAGAACAGACACAGGGAGCATCACAGGCCAACAAAACTGTTTTGAGCTGGGGAGTTGCAATCAATTTAATGCCAATTAACAAGTTTTTTATTACTGATTCTTTCTCTGTAAAATGAAAAAGAAAAAAAAACCAAACAACCAACATGATCAGAGAAACACACCTTGACTTTTCTCCTTCCTGCTTTCTGGTCTCCTGTCCTCATGTTGTGCCTTGTGCTGTGTCTTATCATCCCTCCTGCTCTGATATCTCCCCCTGAGCATCTGTCCTTTTGACATTTAACATTCTTTCAGTACAGTTTTGCAAAGGTGCTGTGTGCTCCTCTGATTGTTTTGAAGCACATTGGGTCCATTTTGTCCATTACTGAGCTGGCTGTGAGCATGACCAGTGCAGGGCAATCCTTGGCAACCTCCTACGCAGCACTGCCTCCATCCCCTGCTACTTACACTTGGTGCAAGTGTGTAGACTGCAGATCATATCATTGGATGTCTTGGATGAGAATTTAAAAGGCAAGGCTTTTAAAGACACTGGCAGTTGCTTGGTGTAGGGAATTGAATGCTTTTAGAATATGTTAAACTAGGGACAAGAAGTATTTTTCTCAAAGGGA